CAATGGGATGCGTTTAATTTCATTATTTTTGTTATCTAAAATCCTTTGGTTGGTGTATCATTGTATCAATTTAGTGAAATCCAATCTAGGCTTTGATATGGGTGTTCCTTCAAGCTCAGATCTGTCAAAAAAGTGCTCTAAAACTTTGAATTTTGAACAAGGTATCGACAATGTGTCTCCTAGGATTGTCACTTACATTTCCTTCCTTTCCTCTTGAAGCTTCTACTCTCTAGTGTTTACATCACCTCTTCTAGTGTCAACACCGCTTGGTTTGAGCGATCTTGGTGCAACACTACTTGAAGGTGTCAATACCTGGGCCTTCTGGTGTCAACACCACCTATTTTGTACATGCTTGAACATACCACTGCACTTGGGTGCTGACACAGCTCTTTTAAGTGTCGACATTTGATAGAAAACTAAGAAAATTTTGCTATAAAATTCAACCTTTTTTTTTTTGGAATCTTTTATTTATATCTTAAATAACCTTGGGTCTAACAACTCACTTTACCCTTGCACTATAAATAGAGTCTCTCTCTCTCTCTCTCTCTCTCTTCTGTTGTTGAAGCTCTAAGTTTTTTAAGCCTTGATTTCATTTACTTGGAGGCAAAATCTGTCCCTAGTTCTTGAGACCAAAAGTTAGATCATGTTGAGAGCAACATTTTGAGCCGAATAGACCGTGTTTTTGTCCGTCCCTAATCTCTCTCTACTTTGAGGTAGGAGTACCTTTAACCTTGTGTATTGTGATGACCAGTTTTGTTGCACGTTTCTTGTTCCTCTCTGTTTACCTTCGGGTTTACACTTGTTAGAGCGTCGGTTTCGACTTGGAGTCTTGTTGATTGTTTGAGGTTGTTATGTTCAAATGTTTTTCTCAAAAGTTTGTTCGTTGTTTATTCCGATGCTGAGTTTCATTTGTTTCGGAGCGTGTGAGGTCGGTCCGAAGCGTCGGGAGTCGAACCAAAAGATTTTTGGGCTAAGGATTAGGGCCGCACATGCGGGGCCTTGGGCCGTACGTGCAGATTTTAGGGTATGGCAGCTTGAACACTGCTTAAAAGGCAAGTGCGGGGGAAAAGGGCCGCACGTGCGGGGGTGTTGGCCGCACGTGCGGGAGTAGGCTCTGCACGTGCGGGAGGTAGGTGGATCCAAAAAATTTTCTCTTTTCTTCTCTTTTTGGGCTAAAGTTGTATCACTTTTGTATATCTCTCTCTCTAAAAACATCTCCTCTTCCTTCTCTCTATATTTCCTACCAAAAACCTCACAAGATCTTTGATTTCTTCAAATCTATTGGGATTTAGATCTAAGTCCTTCATCAAAGTTGGTTAACTTCTCGAGGGCTTCATTGTGTGCAGTGAAGATCGAGTTTCAACATCGTTGATTTAGAGGTTCTACTCAATTCTTCTTCAAACTTGAGGTAGGAATTTTCTTTGAGTTATATATATATTTTTGCAAAATATAGATGATTTTCGAAACCCTCCTTTGATAGCTTTTAAAAATTGATTGTTGATTGAAAGAGACAAGTGATTTTAAAAGTGGGTTTACTTTTGTTTCTTTTAAAATAGAAATTGAGGGCTTCGAACTATATTGATTGATGAATGATGTTTTTGATGAGATTTCTTCAAGTATTTTGGAGAGGAATGATTTTGGTGAGAAAATCTAGAAATTGGGATTTTTGAAAAATGTTGAAAAACTATGGAAGAAAAGGTCATATTTACATTGGACGTCAAATAAATGAATGCTTTGTAAAAGCCGTAATTGTATTCAAATAAATGATGAGTTTCATGAAGTATGAGAATTGTGATTTTGGAAATGTTGTTCTAAAACAAAGAAATGTTCTTATAGTCTTGAAATGGCTAATTTGTTGAGAATGCTCAAAGTGTAGAAAATATGTTGTCCCTTGGATGAATTGAAATATAAGTGTATATATATATATTCATCTTGTGAAATGGCATTGGAAAGAGGAATTGGAATTTTGATCACAATGGTAAGGTTGTGTGGAATAATTGAGCATGGAAGAAATGTTGCATTGCATTGATTATCATTACATTTGCATATCAATTTGTTTAATAATGAGAAGCTTTGAAATTTTGATTGGAAAACTTGTATTGAGAAAAGAATGGCGTGAAACAAGTTTTCATGAAATGGTTTTTGGGGTAAATACGGTGGTAAATCTTGAAAGGTTGTGTAGATGAAACTGATAAGTTGGCATGAGTGTCCCAGGTGAAAGACCGAAAAACCTGTGCGGATAGGTGTCGAGCCTTCCGGTTAATACCGATAAAAATGACAAATTGGTAGCCACTTGTATAGGCTACTTGCAGACACGTACCTAGGGATTACCAGAGTTGTATTTACCGCCCCATGAATTAAATTGTTAAATTTTGAACTATGGTATTGCATGGCATCATTGAGCATGATGATTTTCAAAAGATGAAGATGTAATTTATTTGCAATAAGACATAGCATGGCATGTGCATTTATCTCTTGAGACTTGTATAAAATGTATATACTTTGTTAAGAATTTTCTACTAGGCTTTATGCCCACCCTATGGGATTTTTGTGCAGAAAATGATGTGGTGATTCCGCCTAACTAAGGGCGTGGAAGTGTGTGTAAAAGGAGCACAATGCTCTCATTCTGCATGACTCTGTTTTGTAAGCCAATGGCCATACTTGTGTGGGTTTGAATAATCGATTTGTGTAACCGGGGTCAAAACCTTGGAAACTTGTAAACCCATTAGGGTATTTATTTGTTTATGTTATCTTGATTTGAGGTGAATGTAGTATCACATGAGGATTATTTGTATCAGGTATTGCAAGCGTGAAGATTTACGTTCAGTTTTACTTTAAAGAACCATGATTATTATATTATCATTTGGGTATGAAAATGGGGGCGTGACATATATCTTTGTTTTGATGTGATTATGTGGTGATTTCTTAGTTATAATGATGTGTGAACTAGTGATTTTGATTTAATGGTATTAATGTATAAAAATGGGGTTTTTACTCAAGTTTTAAAAAGGTTTTGAATGTTTTGGCACATTGATGGATAATCATTGATGATTTGAAGATTTTGTGAAAGAAATGAGGAAAATCCCAATTTTCTTAAAACAAATTTGGGATTTTTGTTTCAAGAGAGGGTTTGAAACTAATTGATGTTTTATGTTGAAATTGAAGTTGATTTTCTATGAAAAATATTAGAGTTGTATAAATTTCGATTTATGATGACACTATTGATGATTTATGGAAGTTGAGTTGGGTGAAACACTTGAAAATGTTGAAATTACATAAAGTTTGGATTTTTGTGAAATTGTTGTTGATGATGAAGAAGATTGTTGAGTCATGGAAATGTGATTATTTCGCTTACGCATTAAATTGTTGATTACTTGTATTATTGAATTGAACCTTAGGTAAAATGAAATATTTGCAAACTCGTGCATTATGTTTGCATTGCATGGTTTTGATTTGAAATGGCATATGATTTTGGAAAGTGGTGGATCCTTAAAAAGGGGGTAAATAGCGTAGTAATCTGGGTAGTGGAGTCGATTTTGAAAAATGTGTTGTGTATTGTATTGGTACCCGTGCAGAGAGTCAACGTGCCCAATTGCCCTATCGCGTGCTTGATGCCAGATAAACGTGGGAAAGTGTTTCCTAGGTGTCCAATTGCCCTTCTGAGCTTGATACCGATAAATGTGGGAAAATTATTTTTTAAGTGCCTGACTACCCTTCAGTGCCGAGGACGGTAAATGTTGGACTATTTTGATATGTAAGATCTATATATATGTATTGGGCTCTTACCTTGGGATTCTAGCGTGTATTTACTGCCTCGTGGTTTATGTTGAATTGGTTTTACAAAAGTGCATTTAGCATCATTCTTTTAAAAGGGAAAACAATGGATTTTTACATGACATACATTGGCATGATCATAATTATATCAAGAATTTATATACGTTGTTAAATGTATTTCCACTTTGCATCATTGGTCATTCCTTTCATGAACAAAATTCAGTAGGATGTGATGATGTCTCCACCCTATTAAGGAGCTAGTGGAGATTTTGAGGGAGCATTTAAGCTCTTTTTGATGTTATGTGCTACAGCTATCGAGCTTACCTATTTCGAGTTAGTGTTCTACTTTCTGTGTAATCAAGGCCCCAACCTTGGAATGTGTAAGTCATTAGGACATTTTGTTGTATTCCTCGTATTTCTTGAATTATTTTGTATTATTTATTTTGAACACAAATGATATAATACCATAGTGTAACTTTTATGACAGAAAATCCAATGAAAGAGAGACGTTTTGGTTCATGGAAATGTTGTATTTGATTTTATTTTTTTAATTTCTACGTTATATCAGGAAATTGGACAATAATGAAGGATTGATAATTATAAAATGAATTAGAATATCGGGGTGTTACCACTACAAAATATTTGACATATACAAGCGGCCACAACCACCGCTAAAAGTAACAAAAAGTGTCGCTAAAAACTAGCAAACTTTTACCTACAGTTTGAATAACGACAGCCAAACCGCCGCAATAGACTCATCGGCATAGGTTTATTGTGACACTTTTCTCATCTACTCGTATAAATATTTTTCTTGCGACGGTTGATGTAGTGACGGTTATACACGTCACTATATCTCAAATTTACCCATTGCTAGATACCTTTATACTGACGGTTTAAGTACTGCTACAATCTTTGCTTTTATGACATTTTGTCAACCGCCACAATATTTTGACTCTATTCTATTAGTTTGACACTGACGTTATAGCTATAGAATTTTTTTGAATTTTATTTGTAGTGACGATTATTAACCGTGGTTATAGGTTATGTTTGACTATTCAATTACCAATAATATATTACTTGAAATTTTCAATGGTTTGCTAACCATTAATTATTGTCTGTCACTTATCCCTGCTTACATAATAACCATTATATATCTATAAAAGCACTATGTTATTCTAATGGCTCAATACTCAATAATTCTAAAATAATTCTAAAAGCTAAAAGAGTTTACATTTTTAGAATCTCAAAATATTCAAAACACCTTAATTAAAAGGTTCATTACATAAGCTTGTCATATCAAAATCGATACCAATTAACATACTAACTAGTGTATCAACATTAGTTACGACACATTAGAAATTCTAAAAACCTCTTAAATTATGTCACATTATCAATTGGTACACCAGTTAGTATATCAATTGATACATATAGCATTATTCTATCAAAATAAATCAAATGTTTCTAGCAAACTAATAGCTACACCATAATCTAAAAGGTACATACAAACTTGTCACATGACAATAGTAATTCAAAGTATTACTCATAAAAAAATGTTCAAATCGAGAAGCGATGTCCACTTTAATGCTTTCATATTGTCCTATTTCCTGCAATAAAAAACGATTTCTATTTTGATGCTTTTATATTGTCCTGTTTCCTGGAACCAAAAAACAAACAAATGATTGAATGAGCATACGTATCATTTTCAATTTGAAAATCTATAAATCAGATAATATGAAAATCTATAAATCACATAATACGTGATTAGTTAAATGGTCTTGGAGCATCACTCCATATCTCTTATCACCTGACACTTGTCAAGTTCTCCAAACTTTTAATTGACAGCATCTAATTAATATGCAAAGACTTGAGTTTATCTAAAGGATAAAAATCATTTATAGAATTCTAATGAATTATCCATCATACATTAAACAATCAACTTTGTCCAAGTTTCTAACATCTTTGTGCTATTTCTTTATAGTTGCTGGAACATAATAACATTATTGTATTAGATTCAATAATATGTTTCCAACGTATTACTTCCAAACGTAAATAAGAGCTGAAAACTAGAAAAATCTTAGCGAGTGTTCTACTGGCAGGGCATACCAAACAAACAAGAAAATTGAAACACTGAACAGAAAGAAGTCATCACTACAACTGTAATCTCCGATTTGCTATCATGAAGATAGGAGTGAGAGATAACAGCAGATTGAACGATTCAGAAGACTTGGTTATGCTTACAACAAGCACAAGCTATAGACAAATATATATGGAACAAGCCCACACTAGCTAGTTAAACATATTAGGCAAGGTAGAGGATGATTTTAGCACAAATAATACAATTTTTGTATCCACAAACTACTATTCACTGGTCAAACCCAACTCAAATTTGAAATTGATTTAAATGCACTGCAGAAAAGCCTAAAAACCCAACTCTCCCTGGATCAACTCATTGCTAAATTAATTTCACCTCCAAAATTGACTTACAGCACCCAGAAAAAAAAAAAAAAAAGAAAGAGTGAAACAATCTGTCTACACTTTGGAGTTACCAAATTGGAGACAGCTAAACCTCAAATTTCATACCCAACTATCAAATTCACCATAGATACCACAAATACCATCCAATGTGATTACTATCATTTTATTGTAAACATACAGATATTTTTAAAAATAATAACAAAAATTTCTAGAAAAAAAGAGAGTAGGCAAACACGTACCTTGCCTTCGGGATGAAAACAGGGGTGGATCATTTCAGCCAAAACAGGCCTCGGAATAGGGCAAGGGATGACCAAACATCTCACACTTGAAATCCCCGCCAACCCCAAGCTCCATTGATGACTGCAATGCAACAGTCACTCTACCACCACTACCCTCCTATCCAGATTCTCCAAAACCACAAGCATCAGTCACTGAACCTTCATCATCAGTGACAGAGGACAGACATGCCAGCCAATTTAAGGCCATTGCAGGTTATTTTGGTTGCAACCATCATTCAAACCCCTTTTAATTAACAAGAGAAAAAGCATACTCTAGCGTAGTAAACCCCCTAAAACAGCAGCAAGCACTTGAATCAGTCAATAAGTCCAAACATTAATTAGTAGCAGCCACTAATCAAGCAACCAACAGCAACATTCAAAGGTCTATTTTTTGATTGCATATTAGAGTTCGATGCTAAAATTAAAATTTGTAATAACGACTTACTTGAAACATGAAAATAACAATAAAAAAGAGGAAAATAATGGTATTTCTATCCCATAAACTATTTTGATAAGTGAAATACTTACCCCGATTAAAAGGTTGCATTTCATGACTCCCAAAAGAGGATCTCTGGTGTGTTTGTGGAGAAGCCTAGTCCGGAATGCCACTAGATCCATATGTCGCCTAATTTATACAATAAAATTCACATGAGTACGATAAATTTAGAAAAGGATAACATATGATAAATTAATACATCATTTAGATACATATGTTACATGTAGTTATACCTGCAAACCACCAGAACTATATCTCTGTCTCATAAAAAATGCTACTTGCTCTTTTAAAGCGTTTTTTACAGCATCTTGAGCATGCAATTGAAAACCTTGAGTTTGCAACTAATCAACTTGAGTTTTTAGTTGTTCCTTCAACTCAGTTATAATGTTTGTCTCTCGTCTCTCTTCATTTGAAGCCATTCCTAAGTGGTCACAACTATTAGACATGAAGCCATGATTGGAAGGAATGGGCCCAAATCCTAAACCTCGAACACGACCATGACGCTCTGTACCTTTACCCATCACTTGAGAATAAATATCATTTGGTGACCAAGATATACGTCCACTAACATTTCCTTCGGAGCTACTTGATTGTGACCTCATCAAATCTTCTAGTTTTTTTCTAAAACATAAAAAAAAAATATGAACACCACAAAAATCAAGTGATTATTTGCCACAAACACATTAAAATTTTGAAAATGTAAATTATTAGGTGTGCATACAATTTTTGTAGCAGCCTCTTCGTTGTCTGGTGTCCCATCCTTCCTTTTGTGAAACAGTATATATAATTTTGCTCGATCTAGTGCAATCTTACCTTTTTACTCCTACATAACAATCACATCATTTGAGAATAAAATCATAATACAACGTACTAACCAAATACAAAATATAAAACAAGGAATGAAGTTTGAAATACCATATCATATGCATGTTGTGCATAAGTTTTAGGTCTTGCTGTATGTGCACTTGTTTGCTCTCGCCAGCTTTCCTTATTGGTCGTACTAAGTTCCTTCACTCATAAATCCAGAACAGTATGTTAAAAAAAAAATGATATAATGACATTGTATTATTTGATAGAAAATATACACCAATGCATACCTGTCCTTCCTTTGAAAACCAATACACGACAAGGTCAGCATAGTGCTCATGGTTAACCGTTAAAAGGCGCAGTAGCTACTATATGTGCTTCTATCTTTGTCTCATCATAGTACTTTGCTTTTATACTACATTTCCAATTTCTCCATTTCTCACCCATTGACTTCAATGTTTGATGCCTAATCATATCCCTTCTCTCATCTTGAGGAATGGCAAACTTGAACTACAATTATTTTTTTTTCATGTTATGAACATTCTTAGAATTATCAATACATCAATATAAACTTAATTTGTGCATTTCTTTGCCTAATTCTCATAAATTTTTTACTTCAACTGCAATAGCATGTAAGATTGTCTTTTTCACATGCATGTGATCTCTCTCTTATAGTACAATTATCACAAAATACTTGTAGTTAGAATATTACCTCGATGATATTCCAACAAATTTCTTTACACGGAATTGGCACTTCATGCCAATTCTTGTACTTGATTGGGCATAAGTGTGGCTTCCTAGCAACAGTGCTTACGAAGCGATTGAATATACCAACCTCTTTAGAAACAACCTGCAAATCCTATTGAAGGTGAGCCTAATGTGTTCTTCTAGAACCAGATTCCACACATCGACCATACGTGTAATTTCCCGTGTGTTTTGCTTGGTCAATTCACCTATTACAAAACAACAATGAAATAAATCGTGGAAGTGAAGGTTGACTTGTAGTTTGTACCTCAACTAAAAATCTAATAATACCTATACATTGCATTTCTTCTTCCCTTAACTAGTCTTCATCTAAATCATCGTCAAAGTGAGGGTTAATAGTTTGTACCTCGACTAAAAATCTAATAATACCTATACAATGCATTTCTTCTTCCCTTAACCAGTCCTCATCTAAATCATCATCAAAGTGAGGGTTAATCTCTGATTCTTGAGGTTGAGGATGTAGAACCTGTGAGGGAGCATGTGAGGGATGTGACCAACTAGAGTGTGGAGCCATTCGATTGACTAGGCTGTGAAGTTTCATTTGGCGAGTTTAGTTGTGAAGAGTTATTTGGTCGGCTAGGTTGTGAAGAGCCATTTGATCACTTGAGCTGTGACTCATTCTCAATATTGCAAGTTCGAATTGTTTCCTTGACATATTTGCTAGACAAACAATAGATGTTATTAATCAAAAATTAACATATTAATCAAATCAAATGAACAATTTTTATTTTTTTTTTCAACAAAAGAAAAGGACCAAAACATAACAGCAGCAGTCCAAATTGTAGAGCATTTTTTTTTAAAAAAAATCAACACTAAAACATAATAGTAGTAGTCCAAACTCTAGATGCTCTACTACCTCCTAAAGCTAGCTTACCCAAGACATAATCTAGTTTGATGAAGGTTACAGACAAAGTTATTTACAGTATAGGAATTTCCAAAAGAGTATGATTTCATCCATAAGGCAAGTCCAGCTTTATTATCAGATGTGTTTCCTTTTGCTGCACTGAGGTCTATGTGGAAGGGCAGAAATGATTCATTGGTTCATTCCATTACAGGAAGAGGTATGTGATTGGGGGCAGCTTTGATCAACTGAGGCAGGGTATGTGATTAAGTCCCCTATTTTTTTTCCTTTTTTGGGAAAGCCATAAAATTACTTGAGAAAGCCATAAAACTACAACTATAACAACAAAGAATGACGCACAAAAAAATTGAACACATACATTGCAATTGGGCAATTGGTGGCAGAAAAAGAAAACAAACAAAACTAGATCACTAATAAAACCAACTTCTGTGAGACAGAATAAAAGATTTATCAATCATCCTTAACAAAACAACCATAGTCAGATAAGATGCTTAGCTAGCAAGTGGAAACTTGTTTCTAAATCTATGAGAGTGATAGGTGTCATGCACCTGCAAGATCCAATAACTATCTTCAATTCATAGGTATTTAACTAACATGCTGACTCCATGAATAAATAAATAAAATATTGTAATTGTGACCATGGATTTATGCTAGTTAAATTAGTTATTGGAGGGAATATAGTGAACATTATTAGCGCTTACGCCCCTCAAGTAGGGTTAGATGATCAGACTAAGAGGGATTTTTGGGAGCACATGGATGAGATCTTACAGGAGATACCCGTAGGAGAGAACCTGGTTATAGGTGGAGATTTTAATGGCCATGTGGGCATAGATAAAGTAGGTTATGAAAGGGTGCATGGTGGATACGGTTTTGGTGACAGAAATGAGGCTGGAGAGAGAATCTTAGATTTTGCGTTGGCTTCTGACTTGGTGGTGGCTAATACTATGTATAAGAAGAGGGATGAGCATTTGATAACCTTTAAGAGTGGATTAGTTAAGAGCCAAATAGATTATTTCTTAGTGAGAAAAGTAGACTGCCTAAAATGCAATGATTGTAAGGTGATTCCTGGAGAGAGTCTGGTCTCTCAACATAGGATTTTGATACTAGATTTATGTTTTAGAGGGCAATACCAAGCTAGGAAGGATGGTGGGCGTCGTAGGACGAGATGGTGGGACTTAAAAGGGGATAAACTAGAAATATTTAAGAATCGAATGGATAAGGAAGGTACTTGGGACTTAGAAGGTGAAACTAAATTCCCAAGTCCAATTGGTTGAAAGAAAATGGAGCGACAAAAAATAAGTGATAATATAATGTTTGGTATTGTTTATCATTTGTGCTTTTTAAGAATGCTAGAAACTCCAAAGAAAGCAGCTTACAACATCATTGACAGACAGAAGGGATATAAACACAGGATTTTTATATTCCACAACCATGAAGGGGACAACTAGGAAATTCTTTTGAGTGTACACCATCTTCTCTAATCCAATTCACCCTTATATCTCTTTTAATTATTCAAAGTATGTCTAACATGTTTCTTCAATAAAATAACCAACATTCAAACCCCTAACAAACAATTTAGAATAGCTTTTTTGAAGTAACCCAACAATTTCGATTTCCAAAAATGCATAGAGAATTGCTAATTGAATAAATAAATATGCCACAATAACAACTAATTAGTTTTCAATATTGACTCATATTTCTCATTCAACAAACAGCCCAAAAATTTAGATATAAAATTTCACATGCATACATGTTTGTCCTCCATTTGTATATATATGTATGTATTTGTGTCCAACTTCTTGGGATGACATAATAAAAGTTTGTTTGATTTCCACTAGCTTCCTTTCAAGATAAATGTTATCATACTATGCTACTTATACTTGTATGTTTCAAACACAACTCATTATAAATCAGACAATCTATTGGTTAGATACTAAAGCTAATTTAGAACCTTCATCATCAGTGACAGAGGGGCCCATGTTCTGCTGTTTTGCCCTATGGTGTGGAAAGTTTGGGCTAACATATTGAAGTATTGGAGGATGGTTTGGGTAATGCTAGGTTTAGTAGAGGGGCTTCTTCAATGGTGGGCAGGCACCAAATTCAAAAAGTTGGTTCTCAAAATTTGGAAACTAGTTACCTTAGCAGTGATGTGGTCAATTTGGGGGTTAAGCAAGTAGATTGTGATAAATTAAAAGAATAACATGTGTGTGGGCATCATTTGATACTTAGTAGTTGCAGGGAAGGGGCTGAAGATGTAGCTTGAAGATTGCTTTGGATATTGTTGTGTGACTGCATCAACAGCAAGTCAAGACAAGAAAGGGGTTGATGGTGTGGTTTGGTGGTTATTTTGGTTGCAACCATCATTCAAATCCCTTTTAATTAACAAGAGAAAAACATACCCTAGACTAGTAAACCCCCCTAATTAATAGAGAAAACAATAATAAGTATTTGAATCAGCCAATAAGTCCAAACATTAATTAGTAGCAGCCACTAATCAAGCAACCAACAACAACATCCAATGGTCTATTCTTTTGATCTCACATTAGAGTTTGATACGCTGCTAATATTAAAATTTGTAATGATTTGAAACATGAAAATAACATTAAAAAAGAGGACTTATAGTTTGTACCTCAACTAAAAATCTAATAATACCTATACATTGCATTTCTTCTTCCCTTAACTAGTCTTCATCTAAATCATCGTCAAAGTGAGGGTTAATAGTTTGTACCTCGACTAAAAATCTAATAATACCTATACATTGCATTTCTTCTTCCCTTAACTAGTCTTCATCTAAATCATCGTCAAAGTGAGGGTTAATAGTTTGTACCTCGACTAAAAATCTAATAATACCTATACAATGCATTTCTTCTTCCCTTAACCAGTCCTCATCTAAATCATCATCAAAGTGAGGGTTAATCTCTGATTCTTGAGGTTGAGGATGTAGAACCTGTGAGGGAGCATGTGAGGGATGTGACCAACTAGAGTGTGGAGCCATTCGATTGACTAGGCTGTGAAGTTTCATTTGGCGAGTTTAGTTGTGAAGAGTTATTTGGTCGGCTAGGTTGCGAAGAGCCATTTGATCACTTGAGCTGTGACTCATTCTCAATATTGCAAGTTCGAATTGTTTCTTTGCCATATTTGCTAGACAAACAATAGATGTTATTAATCAAAAACTAACATATTGATCAAATCAAATGAACAATTTTTTTTTTTTTTTTCAACAAAAGAAAAGGACCAAAACATAACAGCGGCAGTCCAAATTGTAGAGCATTTTTTTTAAAAAAAAAATCAGCACTAAAGCATAAGAGTAGTAGTCCAATTACAATAAAACTACAAACTTCAATTGGCAATTAAAAATGAAGTTTGAGATACTGATTTTTGGAAAAAAAACCTAAGGTTATGAATTCACCACTAGTTACATAAATAAGGTTTCAAATTGGAAATCAATTGTGCTATGGTAACCACCTAAGACTCCACAACTATAAGTTTGAAGCATTGACCAAGAAGATTATTGCGTTCAATGTACAGGCACAAACCATCTCATGCAGCACAAGTCATTCACTCTAAACTATTGTAGCAACACGACTCGACTCTCGTAGCATGGCTCGTCTCATACTCTTTAAATACGAAAGAAAAGAAAACCATTGCATGGAAAGCATTTAACAATCACAGAAAGTAGAATACTTGAAAAGAATAGTGAAAAATATATTTAAAAACTTTTTAAACACCATACAACTTGTTCAAACCATTACAACAATCAAAAACCAAAGAAAAACCTTATTTACATGGTTAGGGTTTCATCAAAATCCTAGAAAGAGGAAAACCAGCCACTCATGGAGGAGGGGGAAGAGGTAGAGGGAGAAGAAACCACAATAGGAGACATGCTTGAATCTTGAAAAACCTTCTCTCCAAAACCTAGCCTCTCATTTCTTTTGGAAAAAATCAAAACCCTATTTTTGCCTTTTCTCTTTCCTTTTATACTTCCCAGCTTTTCAAAACAGGTTTAAAACGTTGAGCATGCAAATCGAGATATGGCTGCATGTGCAGGAAATGCCACCGCACATGCAGCGAGGGTCCTGCACATACGGGAAAAACCCTCCACACGTGCGATTTTCCTAGTAGACCTTAGGCTTCAAGGAGGTGGGCCGCAAGAGTGGAAATGGCCCTCCGCAAGTGCGGGAAATGTTTTTCAATTCAAATTCCATGTTTTTGCTCATTTTGTACTTTAATCGCATCCAACTTGATTAACATTAAACAGGAGTAAAATGTACAGATTGAATAGAGAATAAGGTTAAGAAATCTTAGTTATCAGCCTCAATGATATACAATTTGGCCTCAATCACACCCCCCAATTTACAACTTGCTAGTCCTCGAGCAAGTAATAAAGAAAGAAAAATAAAACAAAATCTAGCTACCTCCTCTTTTGTGGGATGAACGATTGCATTTAGCATATGTAACAAGTCTTTAAACCACAAAGTTTTCCCAAGTGGACGAGTATTGTCTCATGAGGGTTTCTAGAAATGATACCCACAAACATTCAATATTCATACACCTCATTCACACATTCAAATCATTTCCTCAAGTAACAATTCCAAATATCTCACACCATTAAATGATAGATATTTCACTTCATCTCATGGATTACTCAATACTAGTGGTATTCATACATCAATTAATATAAGCATGTGACACAACAAGAGGTATTCAAATTGAAAGTAATTTTCGCACCTTGCGTGTTCTGTACCCAGGGAGTCTTTTGTCTTAGAATCTGGACAAGTCCGATATAGGTACCCACCCAAATCTCAGCTTTCCAAGCACAACCTCCTAGGGGATGAAGTCTGACATATACAAAAGAGCCAATCTGCAACCCGTTTCGCACATCCCAACCCTCAAACGTGGCTCCTACATCTTCATATTGCCTTCCATAGACTCATCTTCAGTGTCTGACTCAATCACAATAACCTCCAGGGAGTTGTATATTGGTACAACTTCTTCAGACTCAGGTTCAGGCTCAAGTTCAGGATCAGGTTCAGGGTCAAGCTCAGGCTCAGATTCATAGTCTTCTATAGGCATCTCTATTTCTTCACTTGGGTCAGATTCTATGGATTCATAGTCTTCTATAGGTATCTCCACTTCTTCACTTAGGTCAGATTCTATGGATTTATAGTCTTCTATAGGCATCTCCACTTCTTCACTTGAGTCAGATTCTATGTCATAGTTTTTCACCGAATTTTCCTCGTTAGAGTTAATGTCTGATGACCCTGGCATCCTACAAATAAAAGAGTTCTAACTTAGTCAAGTCACCGAAAATTACAAATTAACGTAAGGTTTTCTTAAATGTAAAAATAATAAACTACTACCCATAGCCCAAAGGTTCAAATCTAGGCTCTGATACCAAACTTTGACGCCCCAAAATTTTTTTTGAAACGTCATAAGATTTAAATAACAGTAACTTGCTAGATAAAATTTTAACTACTAATTAGGAAATTTTAAATTCTTACATAGTCAAAGTCCAACAACAAAATAAAACTACAAGTTCACACACAACGTCACAACATAGTTAAAAACTAATACAAGAAATAACAGGATTTTATTTTGATAAAATCTTGACTCTAAATTAGCCAAGGTTCAATATTAGCAGCAGCTCCAATTTCAGCCTCAGTCCCTTCTTCGACATAATCTGGCATGAAACGCCAGGGCAACAAAATATATGCCATGAGTTTTGCAACACAATAAGAAAACATAACCAACCTATCATTCTTTTTGAGAGAAAATAATGAGATTATAAACACGAGATAATAATATAATCGTAAACATAAATTACAACCATTAAAATACCTCAAATAATTTTAATAACTTAGGTGACTTTTGAAATCTCGCCAAAGAGGTTTAACTTACCAACCACTAAGCCATGGCCACGGTTAATTTGAAAACCCCCTTGGTCAAATATTCAAGAACTACCAAAAATGCCCACGCCCGGAGTTATATACCCAAGCCGTGACATCCGTGGTCTGCCTCAAGGGAACGGTCTGCCAGGGGTACATAACTTCCCTGCGTGCCACCCGCACATCCACCCTTATTCCAAAATCAAATACCGATAAGGGTTCCAATAATCCCCGTGCCAACTTAGGGTTTCGCGACACAATTTACTTAAAAGTTATTAAAAACCAGGGCTCACCCTGAATACCCGGTATTAAAATTTATAAATAAATTATTTAAACAATTCTAAAATTCGTTCAATTGAACAGAATACTCAATAGGGATGTTTAGGTCACTTTTCAGAAGAATTTCAGAAAAAGAAAGTGTAAATAATCCTGTAAAATTCCCAGCAATTTTGTTTTGACACAAATTCGTCACATTTCCTTACATTAATTCCATGCTTAAATTTATAGATCAAATCCATAATCTAAAAATTTATCATGAAACTAGACTTCTTAAATTTCATCTTTTAGTTAGAAATTACCAGATTAGGCTTAGTATAGAATTTTAAATAAATTTTCAAATACATAGTAAAATCTGTCTCATAGTTTTAGATTTAGTCAAAAATTTATATAAATTCGTAGAAAGCTCAAAAATTGTTGCCAAAATTCCTGGATGAACTAGACATCATTATCAACAACTTTTTAGAAGAAATCATCTCGAAATTTTGAGTATAAAATTGTCTAAAAATTCAGGCAAACATACTGGCAGATTCAAAACAGATTATTTTTAACACAGTTTCAGATTTAGTAAAAATATTTGTATAAATTCGTAGAAAGCTCAAAAATTGTTGCCAAAATTCCTGGATGAACTAGACATCATTATCAACAACTTTGTAACAGAAATCATCTCGAAATTTTGAGTATAAAATTGTCTAAAAATTCAAGCAAACATACTGGTAGATTCAAAACAGATTATTTTTAACACAGTTTCAGATTTAGTAAAAATATTTGTATAAATTCGTAGAAAGCTCAAAAATTGTTGCCAAAATTCCTGGATGAACTAGACATCATTATCAACAACTTTGTAACAGAAATCATCTCGAAATTTTGAGTATAAAATTGTCTAAAAATTCGGGTAAACATGATGGCAGATTCAAAACAGATTATTCTCAACACAGTCTTAGATTTGGTAAAAATATTTGTATAAATTCGTAGAAAGCTCAAAATTTGTTGCCAAAATTCCTGGATGAACTAGACATTATTATCAACAACTTTGTAGCAGAAATCATCTCGAAATTTTGAGTTTAAAATTGTCTAAAAATTCGGGTAAACATGCTGGCAGATTCAAAACAGATTATTCTCAACACAGTTTCAGATTTAGTAAAAATATTTGTATAAATTCGTAGAAAGCTCAAAAATTGTTGCCAAATTTCCTGGATGAACTAGACATCATTATCAACAACTTTGTAGAAGAAATCATCTCGAAATTCTGAATATAAAATTGTCTAAAAATTCGGGTAAACATGCTGGCAGATTCAAAACAGATTATTCTCAACACAGTTTAGACAATTTATCATATATAATCTGAAAATTTCAAATATATAAAAAAATGAGAGGGTTTTCTTACTTAATAGTAAGATTCAAATGAGTAATGAAGTGGTAGAAAAATTTTGCTTCCTTAACCTTCCCTTCTTCTTTTCCTTCTACTGAATCTCTCCTCACCCGTATATACTCCTTTTGTTTGTATGTGTCCATGAACTAAGTCTACCTATGATATATATAGGCAGATCTCTCTCTCTCTCTCTCTCTCTCTCTCTCTCTCTTCATGATGTTATTCCCTGCCATAAACTTCACTCTACCCAAAAGCCATCATTTGGTGGAATTCACCAAGCCAACATGCAAATTAGCATATGGCATACCCTTGCCACCGAATCTGATTCTCCTATATATATATATATTTTTAATAATAATTTATAACAATAATTATTGAACATCAATACCTTATTATTCTTAATAAGGTCTTTGTTAGTGATAGAATTGGGTTAATTTAAAACTAATTTTTTTTTCACTATTCTATATTTTAGGTAGGTTTTGAATAACATTAATTAATTAATTTTCTTTTAAGAATAATTTAAATATGGGTTTTCACACGGGTGACCTCCATAGGCTCCATCGATCTTCCCATTACCATCGGAGAATATCCACGACAGACCACTAAAC